GTGGCAGGGTGTGCGGTTGCACCCCTTACTTTTAAAATGTTACAATTGGCCTGCGCCTTGCTGAAGCCTAAAATAATGCATGAGCAACGAATGCACATTTATATAATTAAAATCAAATTGTAATAACCGGTCTATAATGTATAGAAATAATTGAATGCAGAATAATATACATATACTTATGTATATCTATTTTTATATGGCCTGGTGAAATTTCAAAATGGCCKGCTTRAAACTTYGCACACMCGAAAAAAAATCTGAAATGACGCCCCTAGATACAGTATAAATGTATGATTGTGATATGTGATCAATAATTAATACCTACCACATGTCGACTTTTCTTAAAACAGGACATTTTTAGGTTCTTTGGGGACGGCGGGGCACTTAACTCGAAAGCAGGACTGTCCCACCCAAAGCGGGACATATGGTCATGTTAGTTATAACTTATAATATGTATGTTATCAAAAAAATAATGTTACRCAACATGATTAAGAGTAGCACACCGCCTGCTGCCATTAGTTCCCAAATGGGTGACCATCCAGGTTTTTGGTTACAAAAACCTTGTCACATATACACGTCTTGCCAACCTACCATTAAAACCCCCACAGTYAATAACCACCTAATGGCCTATGTAGCCGCGGATTAACAAAAAAAAAAGTGCTCTGCTTGAATACTAAAGACAGAGTAAGTATAAAAATAAAATTTGAAATATTAACATACTCATAGATCTCAATACTAGTATCTTCTATATATTCCTGTTTTATTGATGTAGCCGGAGTATTCCACTCGTTTAATAATTTTGACGTATTCTCTTTTTTATGATTTCTAAATAAACATAATTTAAAAAAAAAAACTTTACAAATAACATATACTTAGATGGTATTATATTTTGGAAAACAACTATACTTACTGGGCAGTATTCTGCTCTATATCCTCTTTAGTTAATCGTGTAAGTTTAACATAGGCATTGAAATTCAAACTTGACTGATCTTTCAAACGTTCATCAGTATGCTTCATAGACATTTTATGGTGTAACTGAAAATTGAAAATAATAGTAGGTAGATACAGTATGATTGGCTCCATCAATTACAAAATGGCATAAATAATTGTGTTGCAAATTAAAGTTTATTTAATTAATGCCATTAAATTAATATCAAAATAGGTAAATCGACTGAATAGTGTAAGCTACTTGAAAAAAAATGTATTTACAGTTAATATAATGCGACAATATTACGGGCAATAAAAACTCAAATAAGATGGTTTAATCAGTATAGGTATTAGAATTAGATACATCAATATATTAAATTCTATTCAGTATTGTATAATTTTATATAGTTATGACTATGAGCAATACATATTAATCAACATTTAAATATAGTTCAATCTTGTCATCATTCTTACTTGTCAAGTTGTCGACTATCGGACTAAGTTAATTCGGATTTCCGTTGTAACGTGATTTGTGAACGGTCGATGGTTGCAGAAAGCAAACGTAAACGTGAAGTGTATAGTGAATAATGTGATATTATACTATTATAATAAAAAAAGGGCAGACTTAAGTTCAACGTTCAACTGCGCCACTGCGGTCTAAAGAAATTGGAAGTATGGTAATGGACAATGGTACACTATGAACAGTATGAACAGACCGAACAGTATGAATGAATAATCCATTGTCATACCGTTATCTGTTATTAACCGCCAACAGAACAAAGATAAAATAAATCCAAAGACGTTGGAAGCACAAAAACGTGACTTCGCCATAGATGTTAAAGACTAAGGAAAGACTTCCCGCCTTTATTGATTTAATATAATAGATTGGTATTTTATTGTTATTCTGTATTTCTGTTTCGAATTCGAAGTTGTCTCCCTGCACTGGATCAAATTAACTAATCTAGGAAGGTGTGTAATATCATTAAATTATATTCTTTCTCTATGGTTATATTATTGTACAGAATGCAACAGAAATACCTGGAAAACGAAAAAAAACCGAGGAAGTGAGCACCGCTTTGTTGTCTGTGTCCAAAGGCGTGTGCACTGTAAATTGTAATAGATGTGTTAATTTTGAATTCAATTGCATAGGTACAAAATATGTATGATGTCAATCGA